AGGTGGCGCTGTCTGACGTCTGTATATAATATTATAAATAAAAAAAAAACATCTAGGAACGCAATCGAACAAAGCGAAGGTTCATCTTTATTTTTCAATAAAAGGATTTTTCTTATTTAGTAGTTGAATATCGAGGGTCGTGTGGCCAGAACAGCTCACGACACGTTCTAAATGTTCCATATAACTCAGTGGAATATCTCGATTGTGCTGACGAATGCCTTCGCTGATCGCATGCGGCACATATGTGCACTACAGAGATATATTGGCAGAGAGTGTTATATAATAAAATAAAATCTAGATTTTGAAATGTTTTAGACTACATAGTATTCACTAAAATGTGCTAAGTTTGGTGATAAAAAGTAGCCTATGTGATAATTCAAAGCAATCCCTATTTCTATTCCAAACACTCAAATAAGATATGTGTTTGTAGAGTTAAGAAGTAACAAACACATCGATTCATAAACTTATATATTTTTAGAACAGAAGATGATTAAAATTTTAATTAATGGATTGGTCGTTGCTAACTTTATTGAGTCTAATGTAGCTAAAAAGCGGAAGACTTTCAACGTCTTTTCATGTTTCCAAGTTGTGTAAAGCACGTTGGTGTAACCACAAACATCGAGAGAAACCCATTAATTTTTATGACCAACTCGGAACTTGAACCCTCATAATCTGCACGCCAGCCACTTGACCGTCGAGGCAAATAAAATAGAATAGAATCAAGGGCCATTTAAATCGCTATATCCATTCATTCTATCATACATGTTAACTAAATAAAAAATAAATACGAACTGAAGTAATTTGTTATTTATAAGTTAAAGAAATCAAGCGTAAATCTCAGTTTGCACTAAAAAACTGCAAGTATAACTGTAACATAATAAGTTTTTTAAGTTTTTTATAATTAATATATATGTTAGTTTTATGGTATATATGCTATGGGCCTCTGTTTACATATTTAAGATCCCTATGTAAATATTGCCTGAAATAAATAAATAAATAAAATAAAAAAAATAAAAATAATTCGCCCCAGAATCCCAGCATTGCACTAGCAATGATTGACGTAATATAAATTTCCAATGAAAATTCGTTTCGTGTCAGTGACGCATGGCTTGTCCAGTGATGCTTTAATCAATAAAGCAATCCGGACAATCGAGTCCTATAAGTACCTATAGTTATGCTATAGATATACTATAGATATACTATAGACTACGCCATTGTACTATTGCAATTTACTGATTTATAAAATTGGGTCGCCTTTATTTGCGTTGAATTTTATGCTGAGGTAATTGAAATGCAAATACGGAAGATTTAGTTTAGTTTTTTGTTTCGTTCTGTTATAGATTTTTAGAATAAGTAAGTTAAATATAGAAATTGATCCATCGATTTTTATATTTAACTAACTTATTCTTAAGCTATCTAATTGTAGATTTGTGATTTTTTAACGTTTAACTTCTTAATATGTTTACATTGTGCTATGTATTCTTCCTAAATATAACAACAATAATATTAATATCTCGTCGTCTCAATGCCTATTTGCACAATTCACCGAAAGAGTTTTTAATATGGAATTATCGACGTTTAAATATCAATTCTGTCACTAGTGAGTGAGTAAAAATTGTTACTACCTAACAGATCAAAGGATTTAAATGAAATTTGAGATTATAACCCCTCTTCAAATCCACCGCCCAGTTAACACCAAATGTTTATTAGCCCTTGTATTTAGTTCATTTATTAAAAAGCTACTTAAATTTATAGTAGATAATAAAATTAAATTTTAATATAGTTCTCATTATGTATATATTTTTTTTCATTCTCAATCATTGTGTCATTTTTGTATTACGTAATTATTTTTCTATTGTTATAGGTTACTCTTGTCCGATCATTCATTTATAGTTTTAATTCCACAGTAAAGTAACCAAACTTCAAAATTACCGCTCAATCTCATTCGTGTCTTCCTCACAAATTACTGTGACACTGGCAGAATGGATTGCGTTTGTTAACGCAACTATAAGCCAATATAAAAAAAAAAGAAATTTGAGATACCTTAAATTTATATTAACGTATGCCACGCGTGTAAAGTAGTGAGCTAAATCAAGTATAATTACTAAAGTATGAACTTATTTCTGTGGACAGCGGTCGTTGAAGGTATGTTTATCTGTTGTAATCACTTATTTAGGTAATGAAATGTATGGAAATGTGTTAGATATGTTATAACTTTAAGTCTCAATAACTTTTTACTCGTACGTTTCCTCAAAATATTTTTAATATATTTTAACTCTCTGTCACCTCCCCTATCTAAAAATACCACCCACTCCAAATGGTGGTAAAGAAATGTATGAAAATGTATGGAAATGTTGTAACTTTAAGTCTCAATAACTTTTGACTCTTTTGTTTCCTTAAAATAATTTTTATATATTTGGACTCCCTATCACGTCGTCTATCCAAAAATACCACCCACTCCGCCAGGGGTCGCGTCCCTAATACTAAACTGCAGCCATAATAACATAGTTCTGTTAGGTTTATGAAAAAATAAGATGTCATATTTTTTGATGTCCGCTTTTATATTTTTGCTTATATCATAGATACAAACGTACATTATTTCATTTAGATTGACTGAATCTCTTTGGAATATGCATATCATTGTGGTGTGTATCTTTTTGGTAGATATATATTGTAAATATCGAACTTCGAAACAATGTTAAACTTGCCAGGTTGAGTACAATTTTGTAGAAAAAATTATCTACTCTTATTCAAAAATTCCTAGCTAATACACTCTATTATAACTTACTTAAGGCATTCAACTTCATATGAATATATTTAATTTTCCTCTTAGCTCTATTTCATATTAAACTACATGAAACTTCCAAATTAATGTGACCCCCATACATCTCCAGCTACCAAGGGGTATGAATATTACCATAATTTATGCCAGACCTGAGGAATACATTTTAGCCTAATAACATCCAGTTTGCTAACTAAAGTGCCTGAATTACACTATAGTGTATTCATTATTTACACTTTAGATGTTATTTAATAGTTAAAGAGATTTAAGAAGTAAATTGACGTAAATGGCGTAACAAACATTTGAAATTTTCTTATTATGCTATATTATAATAGATTCTATAATCTGAGGTTTGATATATAATATTCTAACTCCCTATTAGTAAGGGATACGGCTTGAAACCTAACTATCTACGAAAGTTGCCTAAGCGATGCAAAGCTTGTCTAACTTATGAAAATTACGTAACGTATTCTGAAAGATGAAGATGTTAAAGTTGGAAGTTCCCTGAAGATAATGATAAAGGTTAATCTTCTAAAATAATAGAAAAATGAATATATTCTTCTAAAATAATAATAAAAAAATCTCTCAATATGTGCTTAAAAAGCTCTACACAAAAGTTTTTAAACTTTAGCAATAGAAAAAAAGCTAGGCAGCTTAAAAAGTCTAAGGAATAATAGCATTATTTGTAATTAAATTGTTTTTTATTCAATTAACTAACATGGAGCTTTGTCTGCTAAACTCTAATGAATTTTGCATTAAAACAACCAAGCTTTAAAGTTCAATCTATACCAAAGTTTAATAAAAAATAATATAAAGAGATTATTTGCGAGCTTTTTGTAATAAAATTTCTGAACTATTTACAACTTTAAGATAATCTCTGTTATGAGAAAAACCAATTAAGAGCAACGAACAGCACCTTAAATCCTAAAGTTTCAGCAGTTTCCAGGGATTCGTGTTTTCTTACATAATATTGTAAGCATATCTAATACTCGATTCAAATGATCTTCACTTCACTTCGTGTTACAAGATTCGTTATATTCCTATGCCCTATTCTGAGGAAAGCCTTTTCTTTTTCAGGTATAAAAAGATCTTTAAGAAATAAGAAGAATCTCCCTCTATTTTCCATCCGTAAGTTAAAATTTCATTACAAACGATTCAGTTCCTACAAAAATTTGTAGATACAATCAGACAGATACAAAAAATTTATTATTGCTTGAGCGTTCAGTGCAAAAAATCAAATGAGCTTATTATGAAATTGGAGCTTTGAAATCATGGACAATACTTCAAAATGTGTAAAGTAAAATTTTTAATAATAAATGTTATGTAAGACGTTACTATATTCGTTTTAAGGAAGAAAGCGTTCTCTATCTTTTGCACCAGATTGTGGTTAGAACTTAATATAGCGTTAGTGAATAACGTTGCTTAAAAATATAATTTTAGGCAAGTTAATTGGTTGAAAATCTCGTAGATTTTTAATAAAAATAAATATTTGTGTTAATATTAAAGATTCAGAAATTGGGCTTAATTACGAGTATGTACATTAATGTAACATTAGAAATAATAAAAAGTTCAATGTTCTATACGAGTTAATTGCACTAGTTTAAGAATGCAGATTTCGATATACTCGTAGATGCAGAAAAAGTGTAAATTTATTTAAAAAAAGCTTAGTAAAATAAGTTGATTATGAGTCAGGAAACCAATATCAAATGCATCGATGAAACTATCTATCGATGAATTCTCAGCGCTGGGGAGTTGTACGTATTTCACCGTAAAACCTGAGTTGAATCTATCCGTCCTGCGCCTAATCTTACGCCGGTCATGTTGAATTATCCTCTCACCGGAATTACAAGGAAGAGAAAGGAAAAGAGAGTGTACTTTCGTCTGCGCGTACGCATTGTAGTATCTCCTATGCGCATGCGACTAGTCTCAGTAAGATTGGCCAACATGATTAAAGATAACCAGATTCTCTGTCCGAAAACGAAATTAAGATAGTTATTAACAGAATAGATAAATAATTTGAGATGACAGATGATAAAGAAGTAATCAAATCAATATATACTTTATTCAAATAGAGTTACAAGCACTTTTGAATTGTCACTTTTTACATTTTCAAAAATTAAATTATATGTCCGTGAGGAGTCTACCACCGGCTCGGAAGGCAGTTCTGCTAAGAAGAGAAGGGAAGAATCAAGATGAGCATCAATAAAAAAGGACATACCTCCAAGCCTCAGTTCGCCAGCCGCCTGTGCACTATCCAATTCCCTCTCAGCAAAGCACTGGTACATGCCGCGGTGGGCGCGCACCACGCCGTGCACGCGCAACACACGCTCGCCCCCGCCCACCGGCACGCCGTCGTGCAGCCACCGCACGCGCGCCTCCCCACCCTCCACTGAGCAGTTGAATGTCACTGAGCTACCTGAATTTGCTACCTGGTGAAGAATTTTGGATGGTTGTAAACAGTGAATATAAATAAGTTAAATATTGATCAAAGGGTCATTGATATTGAAAAAGTCAAGATACAAATTAGCGTCTTAAAAGTGTCCTCGAAAAAGTGCACAATTCGAAATTGAATTACGCTTTTCAAACCTCTTTCGTTTATTGTTTTTATTAGTAACACGTTAAGTAGTGTTACTTATAAATTACATAACGTATACATAAAATATACACTCAAGTCGAATAACTCCTCATTTTAAAGTTTGCCATAAATACCACCACAATATGAATTTGAATTGCACCATTCAGATTCGAATTGATGACCTTTATCCTACTTTTTCAGCACTTAAGTGAAGTTATAACAAAGATTTAATAGTCGAGGCTATAAAACAATAAATAGAGAACTTTAAGCTTTTTATTTCATTGAAGCGACAGCGACACAAATAAAAATTAATACGAACTAGACACCTTATTCATTTAATCTAATAAAAACAACTTTCATGTGGTAAGAATAACCACATTCATTTCGGAATCCGTAAAATTCAATGATGTCGAAAAAATATCCATTACTCTCGTTCGCGTACAAGTCAATACAATATCTCTCATGAATAATTCTGCAGAACATTTTACGTTGTCTCGGAGAAAAGGTCTCGGAACGGATTATACGAAAAAAAGAGTGCTTTATGAAGATTAGCTCATACATTTTAATTATTGTATTGAATTTTGATTGGGTTTTATAACATTGAAATACACAAGATTAATTAGTGCAGAGGGAATGTATGTACATATAATATCTATGAACTTAACACCTGTTATGATATTATGATAATTTTTATCATAAAAAAATAATTCTACAAGGAAAATTTTCAGATCTGGCTGAAAGTACCAGCGCTTTCGAACAAAGAGACATTTTTATTATTCAAAGTATACTAAATTCTAGTGGCAGTAAATTCAAAGTGACTTGGTGTTATCAATGAATAATTTGTAATAAAATATATCACTAATGAGAAGTACTGGTGACAGGAAGTTACCAAACCATTTTATTTTTAATACTAGTATTGCTCGCGGCTCCGACCGCGTTCAGATGACCAAAAACCATGTTCTTAGGTTTTACATATTACTATACTCTTACAATGGACTTTTTGTATTTTTTCTCAGAAATGAGACATTTTCCCGCGGTAAAAAGTATCCTATATGTTGGCCCCGATAACTAGTTATCTCCATACCAAATTTCATCAAAATTCCTCCAGTGGTTTTTCTGTGATGCGGTAACAGACAAACAGACAGACAGCCAGCCAGACAGACAAAAATTCTAAAAACTATAGATTCGGCATCTGTATCGATAATAATGTCTACTACAATAAGATTTTCCAAAAAATATTTAATGTACAGATTCGGCTTAGTTACAATTTTATTATATGTATAAGTATATACACAATGTATATATATATTTTGCACACATGTACATAATACTCGTATGACTATTTCTTCGCTACGTTCTGTAGCCTGGAAGGCATAAGGTAATAAAAATATAAGGTTTCCTTAGATTTGTCTCAGGTGTGAGACTGGCATACGTAAAATATTAAAAAAACGAACTGTGTGAATGAAAAAAGTTATGTATTATACATACATATAGCAAGAAATATTTTTTGATTGATTTTAAAGAAGGCAGGCATTAATTTCTTTGTGCAATGAATCAATATCAGATTGACATATAATTTTAATAGAATTTTATTCTGCTTATTTGTTTTTAGTTATTATAAAAATAATACAACAAAGTATAAAAATGCAGACATATTTTTTTTGTATTGTATTCTGCCCTTTTTTTTCAAATACTCCTTATTAACTTATCTTAATAAGATATTATTTGGGATCAAGCCATAGTTCACGAAGCTCTAGCTAAACAAGTGCGAGTTCACATAGTTCACATGTCTTTCGAAAACTTGCTATGTTTGCAGGTTTTCCCGCGATGTTTTCCTTCATCATTAGATAATATCATGTTTAAAATAATTAGCACATGAGAATATCGAAGGTGCGACCCGGGCTTCAAAGCCACTTCACTCTGTTTGCCAGGCTAGCACTTTACCATTGGGCTACTATTGCACCATATTTTTTCTCAGCAGTTCCCAAATTTCCTATATTACTTATTTCCTTGTTATTTTTAACATTTTGGAAACTTAAAGGAATCAATTACACCTGGCCCAGCGAACGCAACGTCTGAGTTATCAAAATTCGTTTAAACACATTAAAAGACCATTTGAGATAAAGTGCCGGTCATTATATAACTTTTGAGTAGGTTTACTTACAAATAGCTAACATTTTGAGGAAAATTTAATGAAAATAAGATTTAATTGATATTTTAATGTAATTTTCATTTGCGATTGGTTTAATTCATCTGATGATTTCCTTTTGTTTGGTTTTAAATCTAATTTGGTTAAAGCACTTTTTTATCTAATATATAAAATTTCCATGTCACAATGTTAGTTACCGTACTCCTCCGAAACGGCTTTTCCGATTTTTACCAAATTTTATATGCGTATTCAGTAGGTCTGAGAATCGGCTACTATCTATTTTCCATACCCCTAATTGATAAGGGTGGCCCACATTAGGGACGAACCCGAGCGGAGCGAGGGTGAGTCGCTAGTAGTTATATAAATACATTTTGTATATAACTGTAAAAAAGGAAATGGAGGGTAGTTATTTTTCACTTCTGTTTTACTGTTACTTGTTGGTGTTTTTTATTTCAACTACATTATCATAAAAATGAATACAGTATATATTCACTTACTTTGTTAAATATGTACACTATACAGAGAGGTGATCACTAAAAGATTTAGGTTTTAGCACTTTATTGGAATCAAACCTACGAACTTCGAGGTAGAAGCCAGGTGTATAAACTTTCCAACTTTCACCAAAAATGGATTATTATTCGACAGTTGATCTAAGTTATTTGACATCTCGTCGATATTCGCCAAACGTAATGCTATCGGCAGATCTGATCTGAATTCTTACGAGTATTTTTCAATTTGCCATCTCGCCCTGTCGCGTCGTACTGACACGACACTTGCGAGAATGTGAGAAATCGGGTGTTTGTAAATCGTGTTACTATTTCGTATGGATGAAATTGTAAAAGAACTTTTTCTTTGTCGCCTTTCAATGTTACATACTATTACTTTTTTCTGCAAAATGATACTGAACTTCAAATCAGTTAAATATAATAATTTAACCATAAAAAAACATTTGTTTGTTAGTTTTGAAATTTATATGAGAACATACTTAGTCATCATCTTCCTATTCATTTCCCTATTATGGTTTTGGCAAAATTATCAAAACCAGCCGGTTGTCTGACATCAACTCTTTGGGAATGCTGTTGCTGATACGTATCACTCAGAGGAGCCGAGGTGCTATGACCAGCACAGGAAAACCCTAGATCTTTTAGTCGTTAGACGCCTTGTTACTTTACTTGTAGTATTTGATCTTCAGTTTTTTTGAAAGGTCGAAGGTATATCGTAACATTTACACAAAAGACGTACAACCGAGTCGATTATCTCTTCTCGCTTAAATGATATTAAGTACACTTGGCAAACCTTATCTCTGTATAAAAGCTTAGGTATAAGTGAATTATTGAACTTTGATATTTATTGAACGACTTATAATAAAAAGGGAAGAGTAAAGGTGGTGCTCAAACCCGGTGAATATGGCGTGATATTTTCGCGAATTGTAAACCGATTTATATGATATTTTTTTATTTTACAGAATAAGCTATAATATTATAACGTTTCTATTATCTATAATAACTAATAAATAGATTTTCTTTTTGTATCCCGTATAATTAAATAAGGTTATAAGGAACGCTAGTATGATATTATGAATTGAATAGTAGTGCATGTATATGATTTCATTAGCAACACTTTAATATAATATATAATAACATCCTATAAATATTATAAATGCGAAAGTTTGAATGGATGGATGTTTGTTACTCAATCACGCCAGAACGGCTGAACGGATCTGGAGGAAATTTGGCATGGAAATAGATTATAGTCTGAAATAGCACATAAGCTAGCACTTTATATCCCAGAAAAATGTAAGGTTCTCGTGAAATAGTTTTGTTTTCGTTTTTCATTAAGGACGAACCCGAGCGAAGCGAAGGCGAGTCGCTTGTCTATACTAATATTATAAAGAGGTAAAGTTTGTGAATTTGTGAGTTTGTGAGGTTGTAGGGGGTAATCTCTATATCTACAGAATCGATTTAGATGAAAATTGATAAGAAGATAGTTTGAGACCTTGGAAAGAACATAAGATACTTTTTATCCCGGAAATCATCCCTTAAGGTAGTGAAAATGGGGATGAAAGTTTGTATTGGGAAGCAAGCTATAGACGAACCCGAGCGAAGTGAGGGCGAGTCGCTAGTGTTATATTATTATTAAATCTTGGAAATCGCCTTTATACTTTCTTTTTGATATCGTTTTAATATGAAATATTATTGTTTAAAAAGTTACCAGTAACCCACAACTTTGGGCTTATGTAATTATTTTAAATGGATGTTTAAATACTTTACAGTTGGCAAAAAGTATACCTTTTGTTTCCTTTGAAATTAAAATTATTTTTGTGAAATAGAGAACATATCTAAGAAATTCTAATTACACCCATGCTATCGCATAATACAATTTTAAGATCAAACAATCCTTTATAAATTAATGAAAATAAGGATTTGTAAACACGTTCGGCGACAGTGGCGACGCTTTCCCTTAGGGAAAACGCTGGAGGCCTTACAGTACACAGTATACAGTCCAAGAACAAGGAGGCTGTAATGAAGTAAATATTTAATATAGCAATCCTATTTCCTAAAGTACCTACTGATCGCATTTTAGTATAAAAACTCTGATAAAACTGAAGATGACAAGTTTTTAAATAACTTGCTCCGTGGGAAGAAAATATAAAACCGACTTTAAAAGAAGAAAGGTAAAGTCTTTTTATTGATGGAGGACGGTCATCGTATTTGTTCACATTATGAGATATAAATATTTATAAGCCTATTTACTGTTCATAGATTTCTTAAACGTTTTTTAAAATACATCCCCAATTCAAGTAAGGTTTTTCGTTTGTATGTAACACGACAACTCCGCCAATGATATTCCACCAATCTTAAATCTCTATGAGATTTTAATATGAACTTTTTCTTTTTCTATGCCCCTAATTAAATAATTATATAATCTATGTACACTAATATTATAAAGAGAAAGATTTTTTTTAAATACGTACGTATTTTTCAGTTAATCTGTCATATTTGGTAATAAGCGACAACCAACATGAACTTTAAGTTGATGCATAAGTAGTATCTTAAATAAACTCATTTCATTAATATTGTTGAACTATAGTTATTATAGTATTTTAGTTATTTCTCACCTGTAGCTGAGGATGCACGCTGACTACTAATCTTGACCTAACTCTAAGCCTGGCGTCCCGCCGCTGCTCTCCATACTGATTGTGAGCCCGACACGTCCATACTCCACTATCAGATATCTGAGCACGCCTGATGATCAGCACTTGTTCTGATACAGATATCCTGATGCTGTTGGATACTGGGCTCAGGCGACCATTGGCGTGGCGGAACCAACTAAAATAATGTTTAAAATGTTATAAATATTTAATATCATCACTAGGACTTAAGTGGGTAAGATACTGTATGCTATCTAATTTAATAATCACGCTCCACTTAGGAATTAAACTAACAACAACCGTAAATGTTTTACTAGATTATTATAAAGAAAACCTCATAATTTTCAGTTTATTTGTATGGTTTTAACTTGAACGTTAACGTAAAATTTAAAAATATCTTACCTATAAGTAGGTGGTGGACTACCAATAGCACAGCAAACCAGTCGTATATCCCCTCCTTGCGGTACAGTCTCATCATCTGATATTGTCAAAATTCTCGGCGCCATACTTCCGGAAGGATCTGTAATAAACAATAGTATTACTACATCAATATTGGAAAGAGATAATAACTAAATGATGGAAGTACTCTTCGCATGGCATTCTATGTAAATAAAAATGAATAGCTAAATGTGTTGCTGAACGCAAAACTCGAAAACAAAATATGGGCTAATTTGGATATTTTTTATTTATTCAAATATTCGCTGAAGTCCAAGGAAGGTTCTTATAGAGTGAAAAATTTGATAAAAGTGCTAAGAAAAATGTAAAAACATTATTTTTTAATCAGGCCTGCTAGGTACACTCTTGATATGATAGATCTATCGAGTCGGCTAGTTCTAAATAGCATTTTAAGTGAACGTGTATACTAACGTGACACAGCTATCATAGCCGACGGACTTCTTCTCTTCTCTCCAGTGAGGGCGTGTTGTGCTTCACAGGAATATAAGCTGGCATCATCAGGTCTAGCTTCTCGAATCACCAGAATATCGCCGCGGCTTCCACCTATCATGTATCGGCCACCTGGACACCAAGATAAGTTATTATAATGAAACGTGTGTCGTGTGAATGTCGCTAACAGACTATATTTAGTTTTTAAAGTATACACAGACAATAATTATACAATTTCTTTTTAAATAAAATTGGCATAGTACCATAAATATACAGTGTAAACATTGCACATGAGATGGCGTTACTAGTAGCAAAATACAAATAATAAATAAATTTACTCATTTGATACATCATTATAACAGTTATCTATACTAATATTATAAATAGGTAAAGTTTGTGAGTTTGTTGACGTTGTAGCGGGTAATTTCTGGATCTACAAAACCGATTTAAATGAAAGGTAAGAAGATAATTTGATACCATGGGAAGGACATAGGATAGTTTTATCCCGGAAATCATCCCTTAACACCTCCAGGTAAATTTCTAAGAAATTAATTAAATATCTAAGAAATCTATTGTTAACTGTAACACCAGCGTGTCCGCGGTCGTGGAGGGATTAAAGGGATGAAAATGGGGATGAAAGTTTGTATGGGGAAGCAATATATAATATAAAAATATAATTATAAGAAATAGGTATTTTACCAATATCTTTCACTAGATTTTTTTTAAGGCTCTGCTCGGAAGTACCTATACTTCGATCAAAGGTAGCCTATGTACTAATCTAGGATATCTCCATTACGTTATCTAAGTTGAGACGTCACAACGCGAGGAAGTAATAATTTATATATTGGAATAATAGCCAATAGCCACAATAGCTGAAGTAACAGTGAGTTAAAGAAGAACATAAAAATAATTTTTTTTTGTTTTTTTTTTGTACTGATATTCATTGTATTGATGTACTCATTCATTTTTTAAACTTTAAAACATTGTTTATGATATTAATTATAGCGTTTTATTATAATTATATATTTACTAACTCCAATAATATTATTATGGGTATACTAGCGACTCACCCTCGCTCCGCTCGGGTTCTCCCTGGGGTGGGGTCTGGGAGGACCACCCTTATCCTTATCATTTAGGGATATGAAAAATAGATAGTAGCCGATTCTCAGACCTACTGAATACGCATATAAAATTTGGTAAAAATCGGTAAAGCCGTTTCGGAGGAGTACGGTAACTAACATTGTGACATGGAAATTTTATGTATAAGATAATTTAATGAGTTGTAATAAAATTAAATATTTACATAAGCAATATTATAATTCACTTAATCAATGTCACGTACAATCTTATGGCGAACACAATGATTAATTGATACTGACATTAGTTTAATTTGCGCTAATCATTATTTTTGGCACAAATATTAATTGTGTGACATTAATAACTTGTCATCAATAAGCGTTTTCTAGGCTAATGATATATATCTATACATATAATAAAATTGTAATTAAGCCGAATCTGTACATTAAATATTTGTTGGAAAATCTTATTGAAATAAACATTATTATCGATACAGAAGCTGAATCTATAGTTTTTAGAATTTGTGTCTGTCTGTCTGTCTGTTACCGCATCACAGAAAAACTCTAGAGGGATTTTGCTGAAGTTTCGTATGGTGATAGCTGGTTATCCAGGTCAACATATAGGATACTTTTTACTGCGGGAAAATATCTCATTTCTGAGAAAAAATACAAAAACTGCAATGTAAGAGTATACTAATATGTAAAACCTAAGACTGGTTTTTGGTCATCTGAACGCGGGCGGAGCCGCGGGCAATGCTAGTCTATAATAAAATTCTGAGTTGAATCTGTACATTAAATATTTTTTGGAAAATCTTATTGAAATAATCATTATATCGATACAGAAGCCGAGAAACCTACTGGACAGATTTTAATGAAATTTGGGATCATAGCTGATTATCGGGTTCAACATACAGGATAAGTACTTTTTACTGCGGGAAAATATCTCATCTCTGAGAAATCTATACTAAATATTAATTATAATTTTCTAAACTAAATTAAGTAAAACTTTAAACTGCTATACTTAAGTAATGCAATGACTAACTATAGTGAAAACTATGAATTATTAATAACTTCAACTTGTTATGTAATACAATAATAATGTCTATTGAATTATTTTGTAAAACGTCTTAGATATGTTTTTATTACTTCTTAACAATATCTTGAAAGGCGGAATTCGAAGGAAGGAAATTTTAAATGAAATTGCTATGAAATTTTAAAGAGTTACACTGTGCAGTGTATACAGCTGACCGTCTAACTCATTCACTGCATGTTGACATAAGATGGGTAGCGATGTCGATTTGTGCATACAAAAAATTTACCGACATAAAATGGAAAGAGGTACTTAATTCAAGTATAATACACGGTATTTAACAATAATTGTGAACTGTTCTTTTGGACATTTTTTTATAATGAACATATTACACTTTAAGGATGTTCCCACAAAATATTTCGAGAGAAATATCCGCTCTCAAGAGTAAATAATAATAAATAAATATGTTGGGACATTAACACACAACACCATCTAGCTCCATGTTAAGCTACGAGGCTTGTGTTTTAAATACCCGATAGTTGAAACACTACACATACGTATAAAACTTTAAATACATATATGTTATAAACACCCATGACTGGTGTACAAACATGCGTGCTCAACACACAAAGGATGCCCCCAACCGGACTTGAACCCGCGACCGCTGTCACAGCAAGTAGGGTTACAAACTAATAAGTAGGGTTATAAACTAAGCCAAACGATTACTTTAAACTTTATTTAAAAATTATGTAGGTACAAATTTACTTAATAATTAAAAAAATAGTCTTATTGTTCATCTAAAAAAGAATCATGATCCATAATTTTAATGATAGTTTTATTATATTCAATACGTAAGAGATAGAAATGAGTGTTAAAATTAAAAAAAAAACAATCCATCTTTAGCGATGGGAAGATGGAGTACTTTAAACACATCAAGGATGAAAGACAAATGGTCGAAGCGCTCTGTAACTGGCGAAACTCATGACTTTGAAATTAAGGGGACAACCTCGATCCAGTGCACTTACGAATTTATAGTGAGGTGACTGTATGTACTTCTGAAAGGGATACGAGCGTCTTCGGGCATGCACTTTGAAGCTAAAATGTTATTGCTTATAGAATTAACAAGCAAGTAAGAGTTTAGTATCTATAGTGTAGACTTATTTGGATAATCTTAAACTAATAGAAAAGAAATCGGGTAAAATATTTACTCTTACTACTTTTAAAGTACATCGGAAGTTTAAATACTTTGGAACGTTTGGCTCAGTTTGTGGTGACCCTACTTGCTGTGCCAGCGGTCGCGGATTCGAGTCCTGCTGGGGGCATTCATTTGTGTGATGAGCAGCGATATTTGTCCTCCAGTCATGGGTGTTTATATTTATAATATGTATGTATTTACAGTTATATATGTGTAGTGTATCAACTATCTGGTATCCATAACACAAGCCTCGTAGCTTACCATGGAACTAGATGGTGCTGTGTGTTAATGTCCCAACATGTTTATTTATTATTATTATATTTGTTAAATACTTACCGAGTGTTTTTTGTATTATATAATTTATGTAATAGACATTATAATGAAAAGTTTTCATGAATCAACTGTCATAAAGTATTCTGTAAGGAGCTTTAACATGTAATTCCCATTAAAATGCCTCGCAAGTTTCCAGCCCGATGGTCTGCGGCAGACCGTCACCGTTTTACGATCAGATAACTTTCAACTTCGACTTTTTCAATGAATTCTAAATGCGCGGCAACTTTGACGCTCTGTCTTTTTCACACGTCTCTTTCGCGCTCATCTAACAATATCTCTGTCTCCCTCTCTCGTTTATCTCGTGATCACTGATAACAGTCCTTTTGTTCTATCAAGTACCCCCATATTTTCATAAGTCCTTGAAAACCTGGTTTTGTTTATGGACTGTAATAAACTTTATAGATACAATCGCAATTAAAATTAAACTTTTTGCCATACCCCTTGCGTATAAAGACACAAAAGCGAGTTCTATATCTATTAATTCAATGCCGATTTTATATTCCTATAATGTTGTCACAATCAAAGTAGGTAAAATATTATATAACTCAGTACCTTGATAAAATCGAACCCACTAACAATTACAGTATGCTGTGACTTCAGTCAGACACAATAACCACTCATTCAGTACCAATTAATTGAATGCTAAATGTATATAGCGTGTTCAAATTAAAATTCAAATTTACCAGTTATTTTATTTTTATTCGTATTTTTTAATTGGCGTGTGTTTAAATTTACATGTCTTTTTTTTTATTTCACGGTAATAAGTGCATTTGTTTATTTGAACTAGTTATAAATGTATTTGTTGAATGAGTTTGAATAACTAAAATTAATAAATTACTTAGTTAATTTTCTACTGAACTGCACGATTCTTTTACGGAATTGTTCTAAACTCAGCTATAATCTAATTAAGTTAATATATTTATATTATGTAACATACGCTTTTAAGGTGACTAAGTATGTATGTGACATATACCATATCTTATCTTTATTAATTTAGAAACAGATATGTATATTATGGTCTAATGTAACCCATATGCTTCTGTTAGTATCAAATTTGCTAATAGATGGTGTTCTAAAATATAGAAAAAATATAAAAATTACGAAAAGCGAAAAGACACACCCGAGCGAAGCGAAGGTAAGCCGGTGGTATCAATATATTTCTTTCATATGAACTGTATTGTATTTAGTAGATGGCGATATAAAATAAATATATTTTTAAAGCCCACTAGGAAAGTAAACAAAGAGACAATTAGTAATAACAAACTGTTAGATCAGAGCCGTCCAGCCATGAACGCAAACAAAGGGCCGACGGTGCGGAAGAGTATAATGAGGTTAGCTGTTGACGCGCCTTTGTCATATCCATTGTTCAATTTCCAATACTTGATAATTAGCGATCTGTATTTTTACTGTTGTTTTGTCTAATTTTAGTCTGGAATGTTGTTTTTTGTGTTGACGATTGCAGGTTAGAACCTTGCATAAGGTAAAAATAACGTCCTAT